CAAAGACATTTTGGCGCGCAAATGGGAACGAAATATTATGCCATTCGATGCATACTGTATCTATTAGGTATCTGGGTTATATAATTAACATACAATGAGGCGTGGGTGACGAAAGGACTGTTTTTTTTTCAAGATCGAGTCAACGAACTGGATACAAGGCGAAGGTTATGTTGGTTATATTATTTGAATCTGGAATTGTAATTTGTAGCACATTGATATTTAGCATCTGTGGTATTCTAGATACGAAAGTGGATTTAAAAAGTAAAAGAGTTAGTATGGAGGTTTGCATCACTTGAAATATAAAAATTATAAATAAATAAACAAATAAGTTTTGTATGTTTGTATAACTACAATATTTTTTTCAACACGGAATATTCGCATCTTTTTGTTTGTATAAATGCATTGCAGTCTGAGTCAATTAAATCAAAAGAAGTTTTGTATATATTGTACAAACCTTTTTAGAAGAATGACAGGTTGTTAAGTGGTTTAAATTTTGAAATAATTCTTATAAATGCGGTGCCGTATTATTAGAATAATTGTTAAGAACTCTTTGGTCAATACATGTTCCTTGTCAACTTTAAAATATTAGAAAAAAGGTCTGTAAATTTTGACTTTAACGTGAATACATGTAATTATTACACGACAAACTACTATGTAATAATTATATAAATATATATATATATATACTGGGTTTGCTGTAATAATAGTGTTAATTACTCTATGGTATAAACTACTTTAGTATTTCAAATAAATTTATTACATTACATTAATAGGTTTTTAGGGGTGAATAGAGCCAGTTAAGTGGTAAGTTTTTAAAATTTTACCAGTACCGTATCTAAATTATACTGATTGAACAAGTGTAGGTAATTTGAACTGAATAAAGTATTCTATTACTAAACTATGGACCCTTCCTTACTTCGCTCTAATAGACCAGTGTACATAATAGAAAGAGTTTGTCTAATACATGCAGCATTTCCTGACATTACTCCTACACATACAAACTTACAGAATTCTCTTTAAGAAATTTGTATAAATATCTTACTAACATTATTATCGCGAAAGTTTATGATTATGAATGGATAGATCGCTGGATATTTATAACTCTTTCACGCAAAACCTACGGAACGGATTTTCATGAAACTTTACAGTAGGTAATATAACTTATACTTCAGAATAATATCTATATATAAATTTGAAGTGGGTGAAACCGCGGGCACAGCTAGGTCAAAATAATTGATTATTATCTATAGATTACAGTAAATGAGATATTTCAATTTATATTTTCCTTATTCCATCTTTTTACCCTTATGAATGCTGATATCGTTGTATAATGTTATTAAATACAGATTGCAAATGTTATGTATTTAAAAATAATATAGTAGAATTCACAGAGTAATTAACACTGCATTTTAAAGTTGGCACCTCGTGAAAATTGGATAAATATTCTACTAAAAATAAAACCTGTTATTCTACTAAAAAAGAACAGTTTCACACAAAAATCGTTTCGTTTTAAATGAAGCGAGCTTGCATATGTGGACAAAAACTTCTATATAATCTATGGAAACGATGGCCGTTCTTTTTTTAAATTTGTTACACAGATTCATATGAAATACATTTTGTTCCTAGTACGCAAGCCTGTTAGAACTTTAAAACGGACTGTATTTTCTTTTTGCCGGGAGTCGATACGTGACTTTGATTTTAAAGTTACACAGATTCATATTAAATATATTTTGTTTCTGCTGTCGCAAATATGATAGAAGTTGATGAAAGTTGATAACGGAATGTATTTATTTTAAATTTTCTGTTAAATATCGATACTCAACTTCCATTTTAAATTTGTTACACAGATTCATATAAAAAATATTTTGTTCCTAGTGATGCAAGTCTAAGTAATTTTAAACGGAATGTATTTTTTAAACTTTTCCTGAGATGTCAATATTTGACTTATTTTTTAAATTTGTTACACAGATTCATATAAAAACATGTTATTCCTGGTGTCGCAAGCCTGTTAGAACTCTAAAACGGAATGTTTTTTTTTTCTTTTCCGAGATTAAATACGTGAATTCAATTTTAAAGTTACACAGATTTATATAAAAAAAGTATTTTGTTCCTGATATCGCAAATCTGATAGCACTTAACAGGACGTATTTTTATAATTTTTAGATTTTATAATATTTTTACAGATTCATATAAAACACATTTTGTTCCTAGTGACGCAAATATAAGAATTCTATAACGTAACGTACTGAATACCTGACTTCTATTGATATTCTGTATTAAACCACAGACAAAACAAACTAAGGTATGCAGATTCATTAGAAAAGTTATTTATAAAAAAAAATTGTATCGTTGCTTATAGAATAAACAATTTATTATTGATATTATGAATGTTTGTTCCGATTATGTATGTATGTATATTAGTATAACAACATTCTTTGTTCCACTTACACGGTAATTGTTCTCACGTGTTTCTAACACGTAATTATAAAAAAAACATGTCACATGGAACATGTCAATATTACTACTTGACGCTACACCGGTTATTAATTGTATGCATTGTTTCAAAGTGGAAAAGGTTCAAAATAGATGAAAAATGATCCACATAAAAATATATTTGCCATGAATAAGAAACTTACGTAGTTTTCAACCCATTGACCCTTTGAATCTTCCCATTGGCGAGCACAATAGATCTATGTAGGTCGCAGTGCTACAGGTAGACTTGACAATAGCCCAAAACCTTCAATAAAAAAAATGGATATTCCCCTGTGAGCCGCTAAATCCCAAAACTAGTTTAAGATGGGCATTTAATATTTCAAAATTTAAAAAAATAATTTATCATTACATTAGCATTTATATATAGATATGTATTTTATTTCTCGACTTCTAAAATATTTAATAAAATAATAAAATATAGGGGTCAAAACGCGAATAAACAATAATTACTAAAACTAGAATAATCAACGTCGATGCAAATATGGACAGCCTCGGTGGTCTAGCGGTTTAGTACACCACTTTACTTCCGGTGGTTACGGGTTCGATTCTCGCACAGTACAAACATTTATATTCATGAGTATAATTTTTTTTCATTTGTATCGGTGTTTTTTATGTATGTTATGAATGTATTTACAAAAAAATATATCTACTTATATCAGTTATCTAGTATCTAGTACCTATAACATAAACTCTTGGCTTAAGACAAGATGGCGCTGTGTGCATTGTCGAAACATATTATTATCATTAGATGGTATAAAATAAAGTCGCTGTCGCTGTCTGTCCGTCCCTACGTATGCTTCAATCTTTAAAACGACGCAACGGATTTTGAAGCGGTTTTTTTATTAGATAGAGTGATCCAAGAGGAAGGTTTATATGTGTAATACATGTACACCCGTGCGAAGGCGGGGCGAGTAGCTAGTAAATATATATATTACTCATGTGTCATTTATAGTTAAATTTATTGTTTCGAGAACTTTCTTCTTTCGACTGTGAAAGTTAGTATAAGTGTATATTTAGCATTGTGAATTTGACACATAATTAATATACTATGAATACTACAGATAGCATAGTATATATATTTAGATACAGATATACATCAATAATTAAAAAAAAAACACAAAACAATCGACTATGGTCAATAATAATCAAACTAAAATAGTCCGATTTATAAACATGGATGTAAACTATTGTGAATAAAAATAGTCATCAAAATTGGTAACTACATAATAGATAATATCGTATGTATATGATATACGAAAAACTATAGAGTCGAATTGAGATTCTGCACTTTTTTTTAAATAATTTTGTAGCTTTTATCGTCAATTACTTTCCCCGTTCTAAAACTTCTAAAATGGTTAAGTTAGTTACTTAAGTTAAGAAAGTTGTATTATAAAGCATAGTAAAAGTTATCTGCGGTTCCAAGGGTAGGTTGAGTTGTAGCACCCTAGCAAACATGTTAAAAAATTTCAGTAATTTTTTCCCGTTTCCAATTATACACCAAAAACTTTTTTCAAATCAAGAAAATATCACTATATGGTTATATTATTATACATGAATGAAATCATAAAGTAAACTGACCATGTATTGTATTGAATTGTATTGATAGAGATGAAAAGAACTGACACAAAACTCAGCTCGTATTCTTTTCAAATAAAGTGTATAAAATAAAACAGGTTCATTTTTAAATTCAAATATGGGAGAATAACAACCAGCATATGCTATTGCAATAGCCTAATCAGTGTTCATAACTACAGACTAAAGACCAGTCCCTACAAGCAGCACCCGTTCACGAGTATGATTTAATTAATTATTTAAAATAATTAATATTGTAATAATGATGACATATTTATCTGTTGACATATAATTGTAATTACTATTACAATTGTGAATTAAATAACATGAATATGAATAAAAAATTGACCTTTTTTGAAGTCGGTTAAATATTCCTACAATATATCCATTGTGCATACGCCCTTATATATTGGTGCACTCAAAAATTGGCTCGCCATAACAATGCCGTTATTGTCACAATGCTGCCCGATCAATCACAATAACAGTTAGGAAAAAACAATTTGGAATAACTGTTTTACAATCGCATTATCCTGTATCAATTAGAATATAAGCGACTGTACATCTTTGTTGTCGTGAAATTCCATCTGTGTTAATAATTTTTAAGGTCATCGATCGCACTTATCAGTGACCGTTAAGCGTTTATGCATCTCATTACGTTTATGCACTTTCAATCTTAAACGAACAGTTATAGAGCACAAAATTGTACAACGGAAATATAAAACTGTGCACTGTATTTTCGATTTGCAAAGGGACACGTAACGGTAATATAGGTAACAGTAAAGAAAGTCACAATTTTAAATCTCGAACTCCAATCAGACTGGAAGATACAATTCGAACGAAATTTGAAATTAGAATTCGAATGTAAAACTGTTGGTTGTAGCGCGTCGGATTCGAAATTCAAAATTGCGACTAGTGTTGTGACACAAATAACGCACCCGTATTTAATCCAGATTAGTGTGATCACGTATCGGCGCGCACATGCGTTGGCGCCGGCTCTCCCGATACTAATGCTAGTACTCAATAGTGTTGTCCAGGAAAACCTCCGTTGAATCACTCAAGGGCTCGCATTTGTATTGCAGTCGCGGTTTAGCTGCTACGGTTTGGCACGTCCCTAGCATTGGGGTACATAAATAGCGGATACGTACGTGATCGAAACAGCTGCTCGTTGTCTTATGACTATGCAGAAACTCTATTTCGTGCGAAAACGGCACATATTGAATTATTTTCCGTATTCGATTCTCACGTATTCTATAATAGCAAAACTATAAACGTGCTCAATAATTTGACAACTTAATAACCATAAATCTCTTACATAAATTACATGCAACTTTTTTTTTTATTAAAAGTTAGTCGTTCGATACAGTGTATCTTGAAGTCACATCGATTCAGCCATTTAATCGAAAAAGTTAACAAATAGGGAAATGGAAGCACTTTTTCATTTATAAATTAATATTATAGTTTCTATTAGCTGTGCTCGCGATTTCAACCGCATGAAATTTATAGCCAAGTGTTATTCTGAATTATAAGTTATGTTACTTTAAAATATCATCAAAATCCGTTAGTAGTTTTTACATGAAATAGTAACAAGCATCCATTTATCTATTCATACTCACAAACTTATTATTATTATTATTACATTTCTAAATGTGAATGGAATAGTACTGGCCACTGTCAAACACAATCGTCGATGCATATGACAATATCATATAGCTGGTGATATCATATTTCACATATTGTCTAAGTTCAAAGACATTTTAAAACATTTTAGACTGAATAAAGAAACATTGTGAGAAATTATATCGACTAGTTCATGCCAACTAGTGTCATAAAAAACCACACCTTCCATGTAACAGATAAAACATATTTTTTTCAAAATGTTATATTTTATCTGGACATTCGTACACAACAGGAAAATAAAATATCGATATATCCTAACAAAGCAAATAATATATTTAAATTTTAACTATATAAAATACTAGCTGTGCCCGCGGTTTCACATGAAATTTATGGCTTATGTGTTATTGTGATATGTACGTTATATTACTGTAAAGTTTCATCAAAAGTCGTTCATTAGTTTTTGCGTGAAAGTATAATAAGTAAGTATAATAGTAATAGGATAGTAACATTATAATGATAATTTGTAACTAGTTATTCTCGTTTTTTTTTGCGATATTTGTTTTTATATTCTACAGAAAGTCTTTAAAATCACCGACATTGACTTCCCAGCCAATAATATGATTTGGTTCATAAAATTTCGATTACTGAAAATAGTTTTGTTTCAATTTAAAAACATATCATTAAATAGTATAAAACAAAGTCGCTGTCGCTGTCTGTCCGTCCCTATATATGTAAATCTTTAAAACTACGCAACGGATTTTGAAGCGGTTTTTTTTAAATAGATAGAGTCATGAAGGAAGGTCATGTATAATACATGTACACCCGGGCAAAGCCGAGGCGAGTAGCTAGTAATTAATAAACCCTTCATTAAAATTGATATCAATGTTAATAATTTCAAAAACTGTTATTTACAAAACCTATTTACTGATCTATAAATGCCAGGCATCCTACAAGAGTGGGTGTAAGTCAATATTGAATTTATCTTTATTTTCTATTTGCGTTTCTATTTTGCTTTATTCTTATATCAAAATTGCTTTGATATTATCGTAGATAGGATACTGTTTCATCTGTTAATAATAAATATTTATATATTGCTCATAATTATGACTCTTGATACAATATTGATGAAAATGAATAATGTTATTCGATTGTTACCTATGTGTAATTATCTACGAGTCAAACAAACAAACAGGATATTGTGTCACTGTTATATGTTATTACTTATTATCTACATTTTCCTCTTTCTTTCAGACATTTCTGAACCACTTGAAATAAAAACTACTTCATTTATTTCTATAGATTTATTATTCACGAGTTTCTGAATCAGATAGACAATATTTAAAAAGCCTTAATAATAACAAATCACGTGTACTCTAGATTCTGTCCCCCCGATTAATGAGACATTAATCGGGGGGACAGAGCTTGTAGTCTAATAAATAAATAAACCTGAACAATTAACACAGCGCCATATATTTCCACGATAAATCATATTCATACTTATGAATACAAAATTATTGCACCGTGCGAGAAATCGCACCCGCGACTATCGGAAGTAAAGCAGTCTTCTAAACCGCTGGACTATCGAGGCCGTTGTCTAACTATCCTTTGCTATCGATGTACCATGTCAGATAGACCTGCACGCTGTCTTCTCTGGAAATCATCGTGATAAATTCCTGGTGAATTTGTCACGATGGGCTAACTGAACCGATTTTATGCTCATCTTATCATCCTCCACTAGTGTCCCGTCAGTGTAAACCATTAGCGCAGGCAGAAACCTCATTCTATTAGCATCCATTATAAAATCCTGTAGAATTTTTAGTGCAATAGTTGCTGTTATGTATGGTCTAGAAATTTTAGTGCAAAACTTACTATTACGGACTTACTTGTATATGCATACGAACGTCGTCCTCTTCAAGAAATTGCTGGAAATTGAGTTATTGAAATCACCACAAAATAATGCTACAAAATACTACAAACTCCATATAACAAATATCATTCCAAACTATACACATATTTCCAAACAGAAAACAACAATATTGCACAACTGTTCCATTTTCAAACATTAATTATTACATTAAAAAATACTTCAATGTTAAAAAATACATTCACAAGTAGGCATACATAATCATGAATCACGAACAAAGAGACGGGCAGGCGTGGCTGTACTTAAAAAAATCAAATGACGCTCCCTTAATAACCGATATGTTCGCAAACAAAACATATCGTGACTAACACTGCATGTTGCGTGTTTTAGTTACTGGTCTGGAACGATGTTGTTGAATAACGTATTTTTTTTCAAGCACTAGTTTTAAACGTGCAATGTAGATAGAGTGAGAAAGAACTATAAACTGTAGTTCTTTTTAGAGTAGAAATTAAATATAAAAATATCTTCATTCGTATAGGTCTATTATGGACAGTTATTTTAAATGTACCGTCAGTTGAGAATATAGTTCGAGCCCAGAATAACTGGCAAGAAATTGTTCCATCTCTCTTTTCAAGTACTACGCCTAGTTGTAATAATACATACATATGCTGATCGTTACTGTGTTCACACTAAATTAGAATAGTTATTATTATATTAATTCGTGATTTGCTTAATTTTCTACCCATTTATACGGAAATTTGAATTGAAATTTCGCACACTTATAGTTTATATATAGTTCAGAATATACATATATATTTAATAAATAAAATTACATACCATTATCTTACACGACTAATAACAAAACGTCAATGTCAAATATTGTCAATATTGGTAATTGTCAAATCAGTGAATTGAGTTTGTATCTGTTTTGTTATCAAAGTAATCTACTAACATATTAAGACGCGAAGAAAGTCTTTGACAATTCGATCCCCCGTCCAATTTGGACGGGGATCGAAATTACGACGGCCTGAGCCAAGTTTCGAACCCCTAGCGGTGCCCTCGGACTACAAGCACATCCGTCAGGCGGGAGTTGGCCTTCAGCCGTTCCATATGTCCTTCCGCGTGTTTAGAGTGCCATCTACACTCGCTCCCTGACGTCCGGTGAAGCTGTATACCTGCTGCAGCCAACAGCATTACAGTAGTCCAAAAACAAAAATATAACTTTTGTAATATTCAAACGTATAACTTAAATTAATTATAGTCGAATTTCAACTACTGTGCGACCACTAATTATATTAATACAGTACAACTCAGTATGTTCATTTGTTAATTTTTTTACGACAGTTTTACGAGAAGTAATATTGCATACAGAATCTTAGATACTTTCTTACTACAATCTTTAGAACTACAAATAAATCTGTTCTTCCGTCATTTCCATACCTCATGCCTAATCTATTGGGATTTTATACTGATAAGTATATACTTAAACGCAATGATGGATCTACATTCAACAGAGTACGAATGGATGCTACATTCGGGACTAATCTGGCTATGTCAATCATTTGACTGACTGTAACAGTTTTAGTTTTTCTTCTTACACACTCGTACATCAAAGAGAATAGTATAAACTTTGTTATGTGCTTGACAAGTTCTAACATGTTCCTTCATATTGAAGCCATGTTTAATAACAATATCCCTAGACAATATTCTTAAAGATATTAGACAATTGATACAAATATTTAGATTATTTTTTTTTGTAAATACATACATATTATAAATACATAGAATTATACAAATACATATTTCATATTGTAAATACATAGAAAACACCTAGACCAATACACGCTCATGAATACAAATGTTTGTACCGTGAGAGGAATCGAATTCGCGACCGCCGGCAAGTAAGGCAGTAATTTACAATAATACGTGTATCTACTGTATTTGAATCAGTCTAATACCCATAACACAAGCTCTGCCTAGCTTGGGACTAGACCTCGCAGTGTGAATTATCCTGATATATTATTATTATTAACTAGTCGGTAAAGAAAAAAAACATAAAAAACTTAACGTTCTTAAGCGGTTAAATGTCCTACATGAATAAATAATAGTTTATTTGATTCATTTTGATTTTGACCGTTTGAATTCACCTGACCACACCGGATGACCATAACTTTTACTTTATTCATTTTCAAAAATAAAAACAACTGAGAACCACTAAAATTGCTAAAAAAGTTACTGATTATGGAACTATGCGTTTATTAATAAAAAAATATTCCTCACATTTATTACAAACGATTGAATTCCATTTATTAATAAATTTAGAGCCATCACGCTATGGATTATAAGTATCAACAACATCAGAATTGTGATAATTATTAAAAACTACGATAATATTCCGTACCTTTATTACAAACTTAATTCCACGAAACCTGAGCCGCGTTATAATGTCTTTGTCCGTATATAAGTCTTTGTCTGCAGGTCCGTCCGTATTAGCATTCCGCACACGATGACTGCAGTTTACATGCGGAACCAATGTGGTTTCAAT